CGACCCGTTGGCTAGTTCTCGTGGACTTGCAGGTGTAGGCATAGCACTAAGTACAAGGGCAGAACAGGCACAACTAGAATGGATCCCCGTTAACAGTCGCCTGTATGCTGTCTGGAAAAATGGCTCCGTAAGAACTCGGAAGGATAGGGACACACGTCGTTGCCTTTTCGTCGTTTCTGCCTATGCTCCCACTGATTGCAACTATGATGAAGTGAGATGACTTTTACAGAAAACTCTCTGAACTTCTTCAGAAAGCTAAGCGCTCAGACATGGTAGTCGTAGCGGGTGACTTTAATGCCCAGGTAGGCAGCTTAAATCAAACAGAAAGACATTTAGGTGGGTGTTTTAGTATTCCGGCTCATTGAACAGATAATGGTGATCGTCTGCTGCAACTGTGCTCAGACAATCGTTTATTTTTAACAAACACTAATTTTAAGCATATAGAGAGACATCGTCTAACATGGAGACCACCTGCACCAAACCAACGATGGACTCAAATAGACTATATTGCCATCAGTCATCGTTGGAGAGGCTTGATAGAAGATTGTCGCTCGTACTGAAATACATGTTTAGACTCTGATTATGCTTTAGTACGAGCACGCATTTGTTTGTGCCTCACTGGACGCAGAAAAACTGCACTAAGAAGACTCATTAGAATTGAACTGAGTGACGAGAAAGCCAAAAGTAAGTTCCAGGAACAACTGAGTTCACATCTAGGCAGTTCTGTAAACGAGACTGACCCAGATGCTGCTTGGAAAGACATACGAACAGCTGTGGAAACAGCAGTTACATCTATTCGTTATTTAAACCATAGGGCTCCAAAAAACCAATGGATTTCTTCTAAGTCTATTTCACTGATGGATTCGCGTAAACTCATCCCATCAGGCTCTGAACACGACGAAGAACGTAAACAAATTAGATCTAGGTTAACTAAAAGCCTAAGGAACGATCGTGAGCAGTGGTGGGTAATGAAAGCAAAAGAGATGGAAAAGGCAGCGGCTGTAGGCAACACCAGGCAACTATTCAGACTAATAAAAGAAACCGGAATTAAGAAGTCAAGTGTAAGTGAGACAATCTCGAAAAAAGACGGAACCCTTATCTGCTCTCAACCCAAACGTTTAGAACGATGGGCGGAACACTTTAAGGAGCAGTTTAGCTGGCCTTCAGCTACTGCACAACTACCCACTATTCCCAGAAAACCTGAATGGAACATTGAAGTAGGCCCCCCGACCCTACTTGAAGTTCAAAAGGCTATAAGTAATCTGAAACGAGGAAGAGCAGCTGGTCCAGATGGATTGGCTCCAGAGGTCTTTAAATATGGTGGTCCAATTTTAGCGATTAGGTTGACTAATATTCTGGCTAAAATCTGCGAGACGGACGTAATCCCATCTGACTGGTCACAATCACTGATTGTCCCAATATATAAGAAGGGGTCAAAATCATCCTGTGATAACTATAGAGGGATTAGTCTGACTAACATACCATCTAAAATACTAGCCTCAATAATTATCGGGCGCCTAACTAAGACTCGTGAACTGGAAACACGAGAAAATCAGGCTGGCTTCAGACCTGGTCGTGGCTGTATCGACCACATATTCACCATTCGTCAAGTTTTAGAGCACAGACATGCTTATCGGCGTCCGACAATGATAGTTTTTCTTGACTTGAAAGCAGCATTTGACTCTGAAGACCAAGAGGTTCTGTGGCAGTGTCTGTCATTGAAAGGTGTACCTCAGAAGTACATAAACCTTGTGAAGGCTCTTTACTCGAACACTACCAGTCGAGTGAGAGCTTATGGCGAACTGTCATATGATTTTACAACCTCAAGTGGTGTCCGTCAAGGCTGTCCACTATCCCCATTTTTGTTTAACTTCATTATAGACCTGTTGCTGGAAATAACACTTTCGTCGACTGAGTTTTCAGGAGTTAATCTTCTACTAGGAGGTTCACTTATCGACTTAGAATACGCAGATGACATAGTCCTGTTTGGTGAAGACGCTGGCAAAATGCAGTCTTCAGTTAGAACTGAGTAATAATGCCAGGATGTTTGAGATGCGTTTCTTCCCATCCAAATGTAAATTGTTACTCCAGGACTGGCCTACGTCAACACCTGAACTAAGGATAGGGAATGAAGTAGTCGAACGCGTTGACAACTTCACTTATCTTGGAAGTCTGATCAGCCCTAATGGGTTGGTGTCTGACGAAATCTCAGCACGGATTCAAAAAACTCGTTTGGCTTTTGCCAACTTACGTCACCTATGGCGAAGGCAAGATATCCGTCTATCAATTAAGGGATGAGTATACTGTGCAGCAGTTCCCTCTGTTCTCCTTTACGGCTGTGAAACATGGCCATTAAGAGTAGAAGATACTCGTAGGTTACTAGTATTTGACCACAGATGCCTTAGAAATATTGCTCGCATCTGCTGGGATCACCGGGTAAGTAATAGTGAGGTTAGACGCAGGGTATTAGGGAATGATGGTAAATCAGTTGATGAGGTCATGAATCTTCATCGACTGGGATGGTTGGGCCATGTGTTACGTATGCCTGAACACCAATTACCACGACGCGCTATTCTGACTAGTGTAGGGGATGATTGGAAGAAAGTTAGGGGCGGCCAAACCAAAACATGGCATCAGTGCTTGAAGTCACTAACTTCTAGCCTGAGCCATGTTGGTAGATGCAGACTACCTGGTTGAGGTCCGCGCGACTATCGTAACCAATGGTTGGAGACTCTGGGTGACATGGCTCAGAATCGATCACAATGGCGTAGGTGTATACACTCTTTATCTTCCCTTAATTTATGAGATTAAAATTGCTTCATAACTTTCTCCCTTCCTATACTATATCCTTATATACAACCTTTCTTTATATACTACCGCCACTAAATTAACTATTTCTATGAATCCGGTGTTCATCTTGTTGTGCTAACGAGGTATAGCAACTTGGACCGATGAATATATGTGCCTGGTCCTACGTTGTCGACTGACTGACTGACCTACTAACATGGCTAAGTCCAATTGTCAGTGACTTTATAGACTAATGCTATATTTTAGTTTGGCTGCCCCTAGTTTTCTTCCAGCCTTCTGCACAAGAAAACCGCCCGTCGAGGTGGGTGCCGGTTGGGCATACGTAACACATGTCTCAAACACCAAAGAAATAAAACTAATGGAAATTTCGTATATCAAATGATGCTCCATGAATGATTTACTCTAAAATACAGTTTAGAATGGACAATAAGTTTGGGATGTATACTACTTCGCTTAATTGAATATTTATACTAACGCTAATGAAATAGTCATCGTTGAAATTTCCACACTAATGTAGAAATCTAGTTTGACAACGTATGCAATCAGCAGAGTTGATAAGTAATTCAAACGTGAGTATATTAACACTATTACGCGGTTAATTTGCTGTCACACGACGCACTTTAAGGGTGGAAGGTATGGTTACATTACATCTATTCAACAACGGATTTCTTAGAAACATCGTTCATTTGTGGTGGAATAATTAACTAAATATTGTTGGCAATCGGTGTGAAGTTCTAGAAGAGGTTTAGTAAGTCAGTAATTTTTTACACTTGTACTGAGATGGTTGAACTATGTGTTACATATGACAAGCAACCGTCTAAACCAGAATGCAGTTTCGACTTAATGAGATCTAAGTCAGGAAAGATGTTTAGGATGGTCAGACCAATATATATTACCAGTTTATAAAGTCACCAAACATTACCGAGTTGTGTGAGAAAACCAATAGACTTCCTGGAAAGGGATAGTATCTATGAAATGATAGGATTTAGTGCTTGGTGACTCCATACGACATGACCCAGAATCAATCACAATAGTGCTTTAGATGAATTCACTCTCTGAATTTTTCTAGATCTCGAATATTTTATTACTTTTTTTTCTTCTTTAGACATCTAATTATTTTTACATTTTAGTATTTCTGGACGTTATTGGATTATGTATCTCTCTGTTGTTCATTTAGTCTCATTTATGCTTAATATATGGTCCTAATAGAGGGTATTATAGCTGTGTGGAAACATTACTTACTTATCATGCAAAAATGTCTTTTAAAATATTTATTTTGTTTGCACATTACAGATTCATTTGCAAAACTTGTAGCATATTGTATGATGGTGTAGTAAAAAGGATTTTTAATTGACTTGTTTATGCAATTAAACCATATTATGAGCTGAATTAAAATGAATTTTGATTAGTTATCAGACATTTGATATTCTTCAAAAAAGAGACACAAATTTCGGTGAATTTGAGATTACATAGTTGACTTTTGATAATTTGGTTTGACAACAGGCATCCCAAAGCTCACGATCTATGGACCGAGAATTATTCCCGATTGACATTGTGTAGTAGTAATTTATGGCAAAAAAATTAGGAACAGTTTTATTTATCCCTGAAGTCATGGAACGAATCGTTGTAAAATGTTGCTTTGTTATTGTGTCTAAAAATTAAATTTTCACCTCTGATATATATTGTAATCTTTTTTTAAAAAATAAATAATGCGCTAACTCCACGTAAGGTGTCTACTAATTCTTTAATTTACTGTTTATTACAAATTGTACCAATCACAAAAATACTACACTAATTAATCCATTTTACTGATACTTTTACCAATGAGTTTACTCAAGCCAACTTGACAAATAATGCTCATATTTATTATTAATTACTGATGAATACTAAATTTTTTAAATTTCTGAATCGAAAAATGACCAAGAAGATAAATTAAACATTTAGAATTAAAAAAACTACGTATTTTCAACTGATAGATTTATATGGGGAAAAACAACATTGTCGGAATCATCGTCTCGAACACTACGTCGCCTGAACCTCGCGAATATATTCAAAGACAGCATGAACAGTGGGAAAATAACATCATGGCTACTAATGTGTGCGGAAACTAGATGGTTTTGCCGAGTGCAGAGCAAGATAAACATTAGATAACAAATTAGAAAGCTCAATTAGAGACAAATTTAATAAGTTACCTTTGATACTGAATAGATGTAGGGTCTAATCTGTTCGAACTAGAGGGGACTTGTGGCAAATTGTCAAGCACCTGGGAAACAAAAATAACATTGTACACAGTCATTATAGCTGTATCACATCAATACTAAACTGCATAATAGTCAAAAGTAAAGCGACAACATGTGTACCAACTAGTGAAAAAATGCTCTCTATGACTGGTTTATCCAAATTATATGCTAGGGATTAACCAAGTGAACAGTGGATTGAACAAAAAGGTGATTCAATAATTATAAGTAAATTCATACATTATGATGGAGCTGTCGTCCATTGGATTTGGCAGCTAACTTTTCACCAGTCACGAGTTCGAAACTTATTCTGTCTACCTGAGTTTTAATTGCATGCTAATGCCAAGGCAAAATATGTGTGATGTGTTTTTTTTTAGTAAAGTAGAGCCAGTTACATACTATTATTGGGAAATATTTGAGGATACAAAACTTTTTGTGGTCATCCTAAGCGGATTATATAATGTGGACGTACCTTTGTATGTAAGTACATATTCCAGCACAATTCTCTGAGTCACATTAGTCAGTTAAAAGAATAAATTTAGCACAAGGTTCGCGATTACCGAGAGTCTAAAGCTTAAACCGACGAACCAGAAATAGATGGGTAATAACCAAGTTCTTACCTATATGAGCCAGTCTGATAAAAGTCGTGCATAGAGCCCAAGGGAAATGATACACATTGTTATAAATTGTTTTGATACAAAAGATCATATGAGTTTCTAGATCAGAGGGAAGTTCTACTCACCGTCTTCTTGTGGCATTACTGTTGTTTACGAAATTGAGGACGAAAAGCGAATGTCCGGCGCTTTAACCGGGTTGGTGGACACAGGAAGTCTACCTAGGAGAGTTGGAAAACCCTCATTCCAAACCAATGGTGCACATGGGCTCCAGTATCCTGAGGGAACAAATGGCATATGAATCAATCGTTGGTCACCGGCTACCATTGGACTGCATCTTTTTACGATGCTTCACTGTTTTGTGGATCAGACCTTTAGGTCAAAGGCTCTGGGTGTGGCCCCCTAAGAAAACCATCTGCTTCAGTTTGGGCACCTGGGCAGTATCACAGCCCTCACACAAATCTCATTTGATTTGTGTGGCGCATATGTATCTGGTGCTTCCTTGTACCAACATTTATACGTTCAAATAAATAAATAAAGTATGCATCAAACACTGATTACTAAGTTTTGGACAAGTTGATGTATTGGAGTTTCAAAAGCAAAAATGCTTTATATTTTCAAAGGTAGGTAAACACTTCTGAATTCCATACATCAATCAGACGTTCAGTTAACCATTATTTCTAGTAATATTTAAAAACACATCAAGAGTTATCATATTGTTAACTTAGTACCCTTATAACGTCAAAAAACCAAGCCCAGGTTGGCGGTTAGATGTTGTTGTTTATTTAGATGCTTCAATAAATTTATTCACAGTACTAGTCACATACCCTGAAAAAAACTACCACCCTCTACTCTTTTTAGAAAAAAACAACGTTTATTTTTCGACCGACTTCAAATAACCAAAGACTATTACCGGAGCTCCCGTGATTTAGTTAATTTATCCACTAACAACATACTTGTTTTCGATAGGGAAACCTTTTTAAACTGAGCTAAAACCACTGATAATTCGAACATACGAATGGCTTTGAAATTAGTGTTTCTCCTCTTATTTTAATACAAGCTCATTTCCAACTGCATCTACCTATTACATACCTTCATTCCAACAATGATGGACTTAAGGAATACAAGCTTCGAAAGGCTGAAGCACTTGAAGTACGTGTGTGCTCAGAAACGATTGGGATTTTATACAGCCGACAGCTATTCATATAATTACGCTTTCAAACTTTTAATCGACAACTTCGACTTGCGAGGTCAGGTAGCATATGTAACCCATCTTGATACATTACATGAGTTTGTAAATGGTCATTTAGTACCGTCTACATACTAACAGTCTAAATATTACGACGCAACAACTAACTGATAAAATACTGGGATGAATAATGATTAAATTTTTTTAACCGATGTGAGTGAATGAATAATTTATTGATGAAACAGTTCCAAACTCCAAACGAACAGATACAGAGGGTAAATAGATACATAATGGGAGGAATTGATTTACAGTAAAATAGTTTGCCAATATGGTTTGACCATGGGTTGTTTGTCAGATATCATTAGGTAGCACTGACCAATGTTACACTATGAAACCAGTTAACATAATGGTCTGGGTACATACCAACTCTTCCCATAATTCATACCTCTTGAAGATATATATATATATATATATATATATATATATATATATATATGATCAAACGAAAACTGAGGAGTTCACAGCTAACAGTTTGACCAGAGAAGAAAAGCATGCTAATCTGATGTTGAACCTATAGTGTCGTAACAACTGGTACGGAGTGTCTAATACCTCTAGGCAGTATCTTAAGGCAAATTCTGTACGTAAATGAGTGCCAAATGACCTTTGTCTTTTAGGGACAACTATCTGAGTAATATAAACACGTAGCTAGATGTGCACTACAACTCAGATGTACGGAATAGAGTTTAGAGATCACAAATAGTGTTTTATTACAAATTAACACTTAACTGTACCCCATACGTCAGGAGCAGTTTAAAAGAATTTAGCTACGACATGAACAGAAAAAGATATAAGATACGTCAATACATAAATATTACATACAGTTAATTACAGTGACCTACATTATTTCCGTCTTCCAGATTTTGTACACACATGTTAAGCTTATCCAGCATCACAAATACTGATCCTTTATAATCACATCCTTGGAATAGGGATAACCTCAGTTCGCATTTAGAAACTACCATGTAGAAAAATAAATGTAGACTTACGAATACCGTTATGCTCGATGAGTATAGAGAAGAGATTGATGGCTGCAACCGCAATTAACACATCAGGTCCTAATTTGAAATGATTAAAGACCTTTATTTGGATGATGCTCTTTGGAGATGCAATAACGGAGATAGACTCATTCCATGTAGGATTCCATGTCTTACGGCAGACTTTGGTCTTGTAAACAAAAGTATTGTCAACTAATAAGTCTGCGAACAAATCACCGCTTTTGCTAAATAAGCTTTTACACGACGAAGAAAATGTAGCACATTTAACTAAAACATAATATAGACGTAATGTGTGACTAACTTGTGATTACTAACTGACTCAGTCTTCTTGAGAGAGACGTATCACATGCTGTAAGCATAGGAACAGAGAGGATCGTACAAAATGCTAACTAGTGTACTAAATATGTATTCAGATTTGAAGGACGCTTTTCAGGAATGAAACATGAACTTTGAGATTCTTCGGATAACTACAAAACGATTTTAAAAAATTAATTATAATGAGCAGTAATACCACTGACATTAGCATTATTTTCACTGAGTTTGGTAAGAAAACCTTTGCAACGAGTAAGTCATAAAATTTATAACCTTATAGGTAATAATGAAGCGACCGAGAAAGTGATCTAAAGGTAACAGGAGCTTTATATTGTTTCTTCGGATTCACTTTAGGATATGAAGTTTTTTGGTAGTAATAAGCGCAACTCACTAACCAAGTACAGGTTTATGCCTTGACCCGGTCGGGCAAACCAAAGTAGGCGGAGCATGGTCGAACTTTAGACCTAGTGGCTGAAACTCGAGTGTCTGAACTACTAAAATTCATAATTAAAACATATTTGCTCTGAGGTAGGTGCTGTCGGATCTTGCTACCATTAGATTCCACGGTGTCCGATTATTTCACGAAAGCTAATAGATAGTTATGGTCAGATGGTGACTAGGGCTGGTTTGAATAGAACGGTTTATGACACTCGACTCTTAAAGTGGCAAGCCTCCCATCAATGTCTGCGGATAATCAGTAAGTCACTCTGTTAGCTTAAAAGTCAGATAGGGGATCTTAGATTGTCATAAATGGTAGTAGTAAGATATATGATGAGCTATTATGATAACTTAGACCGTTGTAGATTTTGCAGCGAAATAACCTTAAAATCTAAAAGAAATTCGTGGGAAAAAGTTACTTTGGTTTAAAAGTAAAGAGTAACCATATAATACTTGGAGAGTCCTTCGTGATCCAAATACTATTCATAGCCCATTCAGTCACAAGCGTTGAATGGTATGAAGGTCATGTATACACCGCTCTACTAACGTTGAAGTTTGAATTTGAGTCCCCAATTGATTTCGTGAATCGCCTTTAGAAATGCTCCAATAAGGTATGTCCGGAAGCTACTTTCGTCACAGTCTACGTGAAATTTTAGATAATAGTTTTCAAGACCCCTAGATATTTTTAAACTTAGGACTTATTTGAAGAGGAGTTACGTAGTTCGTACGAGTAGTCTGCAACGTATCTCACATAAATTGCTTTACACTTTGAACTGTTGAAAGTAAGTCCGTTGTTATCCGCCCATACTTTGAAGTCGAGTCAAATTCTCCTGAAGTGCCAGTTTATCATCTTGGTGGTAAACTTCTCTCTGAAGTAATAGCTCAGACGATACTTACTGAGAAAGGTCTTATACCTTTATTAAAATGAGAAGTCCTAGCACTAGACCTTGGGACCACAATGAGACATTCTGAAGCCTGAGAAAAAGTTAAGTTTACCCTAACTGTAAGAAGTCAATAATGAAATGAAGCAACTTCTAAGAAGTCAAGGTGTGTCACATCGACCTTCTCCTTGCGATCAAGAATTGTTTTCCATCTGTTCATCACAGTCATTACATTGGTTATACAGGAATGACCCTTGCCGAAATAGTGTCACTGGGATGGAAAGTAGTTTGCAGATAACGAGTAGTCACGCGGATGGTCATGTGTCGAGGGCTCCATATTTTTTGAAGGTACTGAGAAAAGTGCTAACGGCCTCTAGCTTGAAGGTTAGCTGCGTTTAGCTCCTTCGAGAATTGGTTTAATGTGCTATAACCTCCAGCTCTCTATGACCGTGACAAGGCTTAGAGAACGTCAGAGTATCATACCAAGCGGTATTAACAACTTTGAAGCCACTTCTTTCAGTATATTATGAACCATATCCAGGACAGAAGTGTCCTTGTTTGAACGCTGCAGTTTCTGATACACCAATCCACCGCTCATGTTAGCTTCGCAGAATCCTCTTAGGTTGCAAATGAAAATTTCGCTGATGTAATTCACATGTGATAATTGAAATGTTTTAAAACATTTTTGGCTTCAGAAGCTTTTGGAGATCACCGTCGTTGCTGGTTCGGCGATAAGAACCTAACAAATGGGAAACTCAGGCATTGTCTTGTCGAATAGAGGCTGCATGACGGAACGAGCCTTTCGGATTAGAGACAATTTTAATAATAAGCTTGATCTGATACTCCTTGAAAGTCGATATTTTTGCTCTCTACACATTTGAGCGAGGCATGACCTGATTGCAAATTATGTCATAATCCCTAAACATGAATGAGCAACACCATGATCGCTATTTGCTAACGGCTGAAGGACATTTAGACAAGCAATATTCTAGGTCGCATGGGTGACTACCAAGTCTAACGACAAAGATCCTTAGTTAAAACCATGACGTGTTGGTTCAGATCCATGCTGTACTTAAGCATGCTTCATTACTGTCACCAGGGGCCTACTATCGAAGGGATTTTCAAATTTGGCCGTGGGCATCCCCTTTTCACTGATATTCATTGCATCCAATTCTCCTAATGTCAGGGATCTGTTATTTTTACTCCGTAGTCGAATGTGCTCCAAAATAAAGTCATCAGCGCAACAGAATAGGCTACGATAGATGACTCTGAGCGTAAATGTAGAACGTTCAAAAGTAAATTCATAGCTATTGACTTAATGAATTCAACTGTCACGAGATTCACAAACATAATTAACGAGACTTACCTATTCCTATCAATTTTTGGGTCTAAAATCCTTTAAAGCTAGTCTGTAAGATTTAAAGAATAAGTACTTCAGTTTTTCCCAGATGATATGCGTGTCTAATCTTTCGGATCAGGTTTGTCTGATCCTAGAAAATTGCGTACAGTAATATTCGGTGCGATTGATAATAATAATAAATTTCTGCAAGGGCAGTTACATACCATTTTTACAGGCATAATCTACAAGTTACAACATTTACAGTATGCATCCCAATCAGGGTTGTTTAGTAAATATAATCTATACAAGTGGATATCAGTTTATTCGTCCAGATATACTATGTAGTCTTCGAAATATTTTCCAAAGGGTCATCACGTCGACGTTACACACCAGATCCAATCTCGGCAAAATTGTGTTAGGATTTTGGTCGCTCTAAGTATTTATGCAATGCAACTTTTTAAGTTTGTAGTTGTTGTAAAGTAGACTTGTAGAGCGCTTGATGTGAACTATGATCTTAAGAAAGCGCGTACGTCGAGTTTGTCCCAGATATCAGAAGTTCCTCAACTTTGCCGTCAGATCAAAATTCCGAAAAAACGAAAAACCGAGGAGCAGCAAGGTATTTTGATATGAACGATAAACGATGCTTAGCATTTAGTAGTGGAACAGACAGATATGATTAATTATCAGATTAAATTCATACTAGCTCTTTTTGCTAGAGTGAAATGTGATCAGGGGCTCTAAATGAGAAAAAGCAGTAATAAAGAACAATGAGTTGTGTTATTTATCAAGATGGAGTAAGTCCAAATGAAGGAAGGATAGTCAAGGTTGAAACAATGAAGGCCATTTATTGAAATGGAGAGTGAATATGGAGAGTAAAGTGTTAAGAAAACTAATAACTATATCCTTTATTAAGCAGAGATGGATAGTGGCTAGCAGTGGAATCCAGGACGCGCGTTTCGTCCTATTTGGGACTCGTCAGCTGGATGTACCTGCATCTCAGAGTTGATGTTCACTCTGGGACTCGAACCCAGTACCCTCGCTTCAAACGCCATCGCGTTATCCACTCGGCCACTGAGTCCTGATAGCCACTTGCTTGTGCGATGGGGTGAAGTTTGAATTCACTTAGTATTGTTTGTTTGGATCTTCCCATCGATGTGTTTAGGACTGCAACTGGTCAGTCTCTAATTGGCATATGTGCATACTGTGCGTATTGCCTCGATATACCTTAATTCACAAGCATGGTAAGCAGAGATGGATAGTGACGAGTCCCAAATAGGACGAAACGCGCGTCCTGGATTCCACTGCTAGCCACTATCCATCTCTGCTTACCATGCTTGTGAATTAAGGTATATCGAGGCAATACGCACAGTATGCACATATGCCAATTTGAGACTGACCAGTTGCAGTCCTAAACACATCGATGGGAAGATTCAAACAAACAATACTAAGTGAATTTATATCCTTTGTTGCCTGTATTTTATCCGATGACTGCCACACAGTTTTCATGTAAAAGTCCGAGTTAGCATGTTATAGGTTGCCTTAGTAAAATAGCTAATCCAGAATAAAAATAGAAACATGAGTCTGGATAGTGAGCGTAGGAGAACTACTTTAACATCACAGACTGGTTGAATTGTTCTCAAACACAAAGAGCCTGACACAAACAAAATGTTCTGCCCCACAAAGATGGTTGGATTGAACTCATCGCGGTCATCATCAATGCTTGCTCTTCAGTAATTCCACCCTCCCTTCTTTTGTGACATTAGGCTCATTTAAACTTATTTTTGTTGGATATATATCTCACCTCACACAATGCTCTGTGTTTCACATCCTGTTGGAAAACACTATTTCTATAAGTTTTTCTCAACCATGATAAGGTTAAATCTAGTATTACTTTGAGATTTTGACGGCGTATTTTTAACTCAGGATGGGGATCTATCAATGAATTATCAATAAGATGAGTGATGTTCATAGTTTTTCTTTTGTTCTTTTTGTTTCTGTACTGTTTTTCATTCCCACTACGCCGGGGCTACTTGAAAATGTGACGGTTTTATCCAGGTCTCGAGGTAGTAATTTAGTAATCTGACTACCAACATACAGTGTTGTTTAACCATTTGTATTCGCAGGCGGGTGTTTGACTCGTCCCGTAACTGCAAGTACAACACTGACACATTATTTGCTGCCAAAACTCATGCAACCACTACAGACACCATCGACTATCTTGTTGGTTACCGCCTGAGCGCCCATCGCCTCCTGGATCAGCAATGTGTTATCCGAACAGTGCAACATCCAGAACCAACGGAAGTTAGGCGTCAAGTATCTTTTCTACGTGGTGTGATTTAAAAGGGTACACATCATGTGCAAACAGGTTTTATACCCATCATATTGCGTT